TCCCGTGATTTGCAGAGAGGGTTAACTGATCCCAATCAGTGGCCCTTAATGATGAACTCTTTTTATCTGTCATTATTTATTTATCTGCTTTTTGACTTTTCTCTTTTTCTCTTGCAGATGAATAATTGAATGGAGGGGAGCAAAGGATGAAGAATTTGAAGAATAGAAGACTTAGAAAAAATAGGATAGTTTCATTTTTTATTTAAATTTAAATTAGTGTAAAATCATTGTTTGTAAATAAATTGTAAACAATAATTGTACAATTAATTTAAGAATAAATAAAAGTTTTCATTATCCAATTAGTTCTATTTTCTCTTTTATTGTTTATTCATTTATTTAAAATTCTTTGAATTAAAATAATTGAAAAATAAATTCTAATTACTTAATTTTAGAATAATAAATAATTTAAATAAACAAAGCTTTAACAAATTGATCAGTTAAACCTGGTACCTCTAACATCCAAAGTAAAGCAACAGTTAATCAAATCAACTGATCAGGCGCATTCCCTTTTCACTGATTTGTACCCAATACTGCAAATCCCAACTGAATGTACCTTTTGACTGGTTCAATCAAACAAACGTGAATTCAAACCAACTGCCTTCTTTTACTGATTAAATCAAACAATGCGAATTCAAACCAAATCTCGGAATAACTTACAAAGTGCTGTAGAATTTAAATCCTTCTGAGAACGTGCCCACAAAAACCCTAATTCCTGATTAAATGCCAAAGAGCGTTCGCCTGATCCAAGTTGAGCCAATTGTGTGAAACATTCCAGAGCCCTGAAAAATCAATAAAACCCTAATTTTGCTTGGCTGACGAAAAAAGTCCGTTTGTCCGATTCTTGAGCCAGTCTGAAAAATCAGGAAACGCCTGAAGCTGTGATTTTTTTTATGGAAAAATGTGAGGGCAAATTTTGGGGTACAACACACGTTACTGATGGCAGTTGTACAAGATGGTAACAACAACATTTTTACAATTGCCTTTTCTCTAATCGAGGGTGATACTGGTGTGGCTTGGAGTTTCTTTCTTAAGAATCTCTAAACACACGTGGCTCTGTAACCTGATCTTTGTTTGATCTTCGACAGACATGCATCTATTGAGAATGCATATAATAATCCTGCAAATGGTTGGCATGACCCCCCTTCTACGCATGTCTATTACATTAGACATATCGTTCAAAATTTCATGAAGGAGATCAAAGACAAGGCTCTTAAAAAACAGTAATGAATGCAGGATATGCATTAACACAACCCTCATTCAAACATTATCGCAATAAGATTAGATTGTCAAGTCCGGATGCAGGTAGGTGGATTAATAATATTCCAATGGATAAACGGACAAGGTTATACGACAATGGACAAAGATGGGGCCACATGACAATAAATCTTGTTGAATCAATGAACAGTGTATCCAAAGGCATATGAAACCTCCCAGTAACCGCTTTGGTGAAATTAACATATTTTAGGATGGCCGAGTTGTTTGCAAAAAGAGGTGAAATATGGTACGTGGTGTTACAATCGGGACAACTATGAAGTGAAAGTTTCCTGAAATTTATCAAGGCAGAGGGTGCCAAAGCCATCACCCGTCTTGTTACACAGTTCAACCGATATAACCATAACTTCATTGTCAAAGAGACAATCGACCACAACGAGGGACTGCCAAGACAAGAGTATAGGGTTATACTACCATCTCGTTGGTGTGATTGTGGAAAGTTTCAAGCCTTTCATATGCCTTGTTCTTATATCATTGCGGCATGTACGCATACTCATCAAGATGCATTACTACTTCTATCTCCCATTTACAAGTCCGAGACCTTGCTCAGCGTATACAACAATCGCTTTCCAGTGGTAGGGAAACCTGATTATTAGCCTGCATACGAAGGGGAAATAGTTTGACACAATAATCAAATGCGAAGGAATAAAAAAGGTCGTCTCAAAAGCAAGCGTATCACAAATGAGATGGACGATCTTGACAACTTAGAAAAATGTGTGGTTTATGTCGTCAGGCCGGACACAATCGAAAAAATTACCTACTTGTGCTACTAGCTCGGCAACATAAATAATATATGCAAACTATCTATACTTTTTTAATATCAGAGTTTTTTTCATTAAAATCATCTATTACGACAAACCATGCGCAAACAACAAATAAAAACACATCACAACTAAAACAACAATAAATAAAACATGTAAATATAACATCAACAACACAATAAAATATCTAAGAAATTACAACCGTCAAGACAATTTCATCGGATCCGTGCATCATCACCATTACGTTTGTGTCTGTTTTGACTTCCTCCAACCAAGATTGAGGCCTTCTAGTTGCAAGTAAGGTGATTGTTCTTCTTCTCTGAATTCTTCTAATTTATTCTCCAGCTTCAATGTCTCCCTCTAGCCATCACTTCAACTCTCTCTTCAGACGCTCCATGGAGTGTATGCCAAAATTCATTTTCAGCGGAGGTTTGGTGGGCGAGAAAATAACGTACCCATCTTTGATGAAATCATGAAATATGTCATAATGCAAAAAAAAGAGAAAAAATGAGAAGAGAAAGTGATAAAATGTAAAGAATGATGGAGAAATGGGTATTTTATTTATAGAAAACACAATTACATGTATAAGTCATCTCAGATAGTGCCTCCTCCCCATATTATAGTGCATGTGCCATCTCACATGGCTTACATAAAGTGTATGCGTCAAATGAGGTGGCGCCTAAGACTAAATGATAAATACATGCGCCAATTGACTTGGCGCCACCATTCACATGTTTTATGAAACATGGTTATTTATGTAATTTTTTCTAAAATATAATTATTTATGTATTTTTTTTAATATATAATTATTATAAAAAAAAAATTCTATTTATCGTACCACATCTCAGGAATTCTATATATATCAGGAATTCTATGTTGATACCAAGCTTTACACTACACCATATATTATTACTATTTCATATACATGATTTTTAATTATTATTTGACTTTACATTATAAAAAGCAATAAATAAATGACATTCCAATTAAACTTTCTCTCTCCTATCTTTTCATCTTCCACCTCCTTTTCTTTTCTTGTAACACATTTTCTTCCCACACATGAAAGAAGATTTACATTTCTTCCACGGGAAATTCTTGAAATAGGTTAATGAATTTGTCAAACAAAGATAATTAAAATAAATTATAAGTAATACAAAGTAGGTATAAAATTGGCTAATATAACTCAAATGTTGGTAAATGAGTTTTCAAACATATCAAAGTTGGTTAATTGTAGGTAAAAAAACAAGTTAATATAACTAAGATGTTGGTTAATCAGTTTCAAGTTATTAAATTACAAATAAAATAAAGTTGGTTAATTGTGTATAAAAAATTGGGTAATTCTAATACAAATTAAAAGTTGATTAATTCTCAAACATAAAAATCAACACATAATAAAATTTCATTTTAACACCATAATATGATTGAAATCAGTCGATGGAAGTTGATGGTTGATTTTGGGGTGAATGTGAGCGGTAGAGATTGAAATCAAGTAATAAATAGGGGTGTGTAAAAAAACTGGTTTACACGAACTAATTTTAAAAATTCAGTGCATCGATTTTTATAACAAAAATCTGGTTTCAATTTTTGATAACCAGTTGTCATATATAAAACCAAATGTATATGATATTATTATTAATGAATAAGATATTAGTAAGGCACGGGAAATTCAAATTCGTGTAAATCAATTTATATAATATTCAAATTGAAAATGGAAAACTAGTTTATATATTTTATTTTATTTATTATTAATTAGTTAATTAGAGTGGTGATTAGTTAAGGGAAGAAGAACTTATTAAGTTAATTATGATGAACGATTGTTAATCTGTATTTTTTTTGTTTAATTGTTATAGTGTAGCAATTGTTTTGAAGCAGATTTTAGGATGTTTTGTTTTAATTTTATTGGGTTCTAGTTTTAGTGTTCTGGTGTAACTTTATCATAGATTAAAGTGTAATGTTTTTACTCTTAAATTGAATTTTACTTTTTTGCTTTTCAAAAAAATTATGAAAAACGATTTGTGCTGGTGTTTGAATATAATAATATAAAAATGACACATGCATTTGCATCTTGTTCCCTTCATTAACCTGAATTTTTTTCGTCTCTTCAGATTAAGAAAGAAACAATTTCCTTATAAATCAATTTTGATTGAAAACCGGTTTAAACCAGTTTTAAATCGAATTGAAACCATTTTGCAATTTTAAATTGGTTATTATAAAAAATGATTTAATTTTAAAACTAGAACCATTAAAATAGATTAGTTCTTAAAATTTGGTAACCATGCACACCCCTAATAATAAAGATCGAATTTTGTTTGATGAAGAGAAATGAGAAAAGAGAATGGTAGAAGAGAAGAGAAAGTTAACGATTTTAATGAAGAGACAAATTGTGTGATTCCCATAGAGAAGAAAGAGAATTGTCATATGATTCAAATCAAAATGACAGAAAAGCCCTTAACATAAAATGAAATTACCAAATCTATAGTATTTTGGAACAGTAATATCGATGTCGTGTCACATTTGGTGTCAAGATAACATTATATATTTATGAATTTATTTACAGCAATCCTCAGTCCTAACCCAGAAATCATCTGCTCCTAATTTTAGCTATGGGACGCAAATGAGTTGCCATGAAAGTACAGGTAGTTATTAACAAAAAGAATTAGTAATTTGAGTCTTGCACAGCTTTTGTCTATTGAGAAAAGTTATGTACAACATTAACTACAATTCTACAAATGCACAAGCATATGATAATATTGATTTCTAAGTTCTAGATTTTATAATTTGAATTGTGAACATCACTTATGATTCGAAAAATTCATACTTTCTAAGTGGACGGGGCCAAACAAAACAGTGAACCTTGATGAATGCACCTACAAAACTTCATCAGCAAGTGGGATCCTTCCCACCTAGTTGAACATGGCTTGGAAGTATTTAATAAAATAATGAGAAGTGGAGACTCTGCAAATGTTTTTAACTAGAAGCCGAAGCAGCTTTCCGTTTATCCGATTCCTCTCGCTCTTCCTTGGCAAACTCTTCGATCAATCCATGCTGTCTCTCTGTCAGGCTTCTGTAAAATCACATCATAACAATCAAGATTCATCAAAATTTATGTAAAACAAGGTTGGGCTCAGTTTTGTTTCAAACCAAGATTTCAAATAAATGCAGTTTTTGAATGCTAGTAGTTAAACAAACATCCATATAAAACTTAAGCATGCAGTAGTAGAGGGAGAAAAACACAATTCATAAATAACACTGCGCCATATTATGAGAAACTCACGCTGGAATGCTGACATTAAAATGAACATATTGGTCCCCATATTTGAAACTATTTGTTCCTGTTAAAAGAAAAAATAAGTCAAGATCAATGAAAGAAGTCAGTTTACTGAAACACAATCTATTAAAAATCGAAGCAGCAACATTTTTCGTATATTTCAAATCAGGACCACAAAATTGCTATAGAAGATAGCCTCTATTTTGAAATTTTAGAGTAAGAGAGAAGGTAAAATGATAAATTTCTCTGAATAATATCTACTTGCATACCTTTCCTTATACCTTTCCTTTTCAAAACCACCTTTTGACCAGGTTGGGTGCCTGGGGGAACCTGCCAAACAGAACTCATCATTCAAACAGAACTAGACATGCCAAAAGATATAGTATTATACAAAGGAGTGTTAGGATTAGGAACATCCTCTTCCCATCACTTATTCTATTGGCTAAAATGCATATAGATCCCATTATTTTGAAAATTTATCTCGCTATATAGGAAATGAGAGCCGTATAAATTAGTAGAATCCACATGAATTTTTAGTCAATAATAGTGTTAGAAAGAGCATCTAAGCATGTTTCGAACACCTCTCTATTATGTATTGTAATAGAAATACTTACCTTAAGCATTACATTTCCAGTAAAAGATGGGACCTCAATGGTTGCCCCCAAAATCGCCTGAAATAAATATTTTAAAGAAACATAAAAATTTCTACTATAAGTTTATTTATATTTTTTACTTATAATTATTATAACTAATAATATTGATAAATGTTCGACAAACAACAAACAAGATGTTAGCGATAAAAAATAACCAGCCAAAACAAAAGCCCATCCACGCCACTGCCCAATTAAAATTGAAATAAATATTTACAAACGAAATATTATAGAAAATCAATTTTCCCATAAGTTGGCAAACAAATTCATGTGATCAAAGCTTGCACAGTATGGTAGCCCCTACAAAGGTTTTCAATTATATCAAAAGATAAACGTGCTACCGAATTACTATACCACTTAGACATCTCAACTTCATATAGAGCTGCATTTCTTGGAGCATTGCATGTGAGTATAGTGTACAACGATATAAGTCAATTATGAAAGTAAACTACGACTTAGGTCCCTAAAAAATAGTTAGCAAGATAATTCCTAAAAAATATGAACTAATATCTACAATGAAACACGCATATGGATTAAAAAAATACTCAACCAAATACCCACAAAATCAATGCTCAATTTTTTTCATGAAACATTACCTGAGTGAAACTTAAAACAGCATTCACATGAACATCTAATCCATCTCTGCGAAAAACAGGATCTTCCCTAACCTGCAAAAAGTATGGATGAAAGAAATATAATTGACTTGTCTTTAAAATATAAAGAAATAATTAAAAACGGAAGTAATTTCTAAGCTACCGAAGTACCTTGATAGTAACATATAGATCACCGGAATGATGTCCATCAGGATTTGCTCCACCACCTCCATACACCTTTAGAATCTCATTATTGTCGATTCCTGCAAATGTAAGAAGAACCATACATCATTGAAACATTTATCTCTTTGTAAGCCATATAACCACAGCCTACATAACATATTACAGCAACGTATTCAAATTTTTTTGAAATAATTACCAGATATAATATCCAACTTTACTGTCTTTGTTCCTTTGACAACTTTCGCACCCTTGCAAGACCTGCAGAAATTCTGATACCAATAACAAAAGATTAAAAATCATCAAAAATCAATATATCATTACAATTTCATATTTTATATTAGTATGAAAACCCCCATATCCATTGCATAATTTAATTACAAAAATCAATGGTAGAGTGAACAAATAACTGCAGAATGCCGGGTAAATGGATGCAAGAACAATAAGCAAGTTATTGTAAACACAAGAAGTTCATACACCAATATTGGAAGTTCTGAACCTTTTTATATAACATATTAAATAGAAAAGAATCAATATTGCAAATTACAGAAGGAACTTTGTACCATACCGATACAATTCTTCCAGTTCCCTTGCAGGTACCACAAGGACTCTGCATTCTGAATATTCCAGTTTGTACAAATATCTGGACATCTCGAAAATTATCAATTGAACAACACTTCTCAAGCTTGTAACAAGAATTAAATCATTTCCAACACTATACTGACCATCCCTGACCCTTTACATCGCATACAAGTTTCAGGTCTTGTACCAGGAGGAACACCACTCCCACCTGAAACAGTTTGACAAGTGAGAGATGTGTTAATTTTAAGGAGCATTGACTTGTCAGAATTCAAACCTAAATGAATACAAAATACCAGAGAAGGATAACAATTCATAGCTTATTTACAAACATACCACAAGCATTACAAAGGACATCTGTTTGAAATGCCAGAGTTTTGGTGCACCCTTCAATAGCTTCGGTAAAAGATAGTTCAATGACAGTCTGTGATCAAAAAGATTATTAATACGGTTTTCATTAAACAATCAGTAAGCATGCTTAATAAATCATGAAGAGGAGTGATAACAACACTCTTTCCAACACTCTCATATTGGGTAAAATACACGTGGGCCCCACTATTTAGGAAATGGGTCTATATAAAGTGGGGGAACACACATGTATTTCATCCAATAATAAGTGAGTGTTGCAAAGACAGTGTTTCTTTGGTAGCAGTACTCATGTCTGAATATGAGGTAAGAAAAAACCTTGACATCAGCACTTTGACGGAAAATGTTGTTGAAAGGATTGAAGCCATTGAACACATGCTCGAAAGGATTGAAGCCACCCTCGCCTCCAAAACCAGTGCTTTGTTGGTTTACATAGCCATCATGTCCAACCTACGAATTCATGACAAAGTAAAACAACTCAAATGAGAGAGGCAGTAGATACTAGGGAGAAAGCAACGATCCACTCAATAAAATACACAATCAACTAAGAAACATGGACAACTTCACAAACACATTAAGCATAAGTCGTTCATAAACTTAGAAACAAATACACCTACATTCTACAAAATGTTGATGAAAATCTTAAAATTTCTTGAAATCTACTATGCCTATTAATAAAGTTTTCTTCCTTCCACATTAAAGGGGAGAAATGTCAATTGAAAACAAAGAAACCACGAAAAAGCTAAAATAAAATGAGTGTGGCATTTCTACTTCTCTCCATCTTTCTTTTTCTATTAAGTAGCTTTTAAGAAATTTATAGCACTAAAATCATATCATTCCCTCCATATGCATTAAAATTCACATAGAGTACACTTTTTCATTCATTAGAATTCACATAAACTTATCCTACAGTATGTCCCAATTTAGTAGTTACAACGAAGTTTCTAAGAAATAGCCAGTAAGGAATTAAACCTGATCATACTGTTGACGTTTTTCCCCATCCTTCAAAACCTACACACAATAAAAGGGAATGTCAGTCACATAATTTGGGATATGTATATGGATTTAGGGGATATGCATGGTCAATGTAAAACAGGTTTCCATTGATATCCATGAAAATCTACTATTTTCCTACAATAGCCCAGCTTTTAAGGGTATTTTGAAACTGGTAGTATGACATCGAAAAATGGCGATCTCTCATTGGATGTCAATGTAAAACTTTTACACTGACAGTGTATGCGTGTTAAACTCTGAATACTTAAGATAGATATCTGGCTCTGCGCAGTATGACAAACAAAAACTACAATAGTACACCTCATATGCCACTGTGACTTCTTGAAACTTCTTTTCAGCCTCGGGATCATCTTTATTTGTGTCTGGATGAAGCTTCTTCGCAAGCTGCAGAATATGGAGAAGAAATGAGGAATAATAATAAAATACAAAAGCAGACGAATAATCCTAATTTCAAAATTGAATCAAACTCGATCTAATCTTAATTTCAATTTTAAATCAAATATAATCCAATCCTTAAGTTATAATCTTAACAAATCAAATGCAAACTAATCCTAGTTCAATTTTTAATTAAGAATATAATAATTGGAATAAAAATAACAATACTAAATGATTGAATTTCTCCCAAAACTTCGATCTTAATTTAAACCACAATAGAGGTTGGCTATGGTCTCCATTCGAGAAAAGCAAACATATAGTGTGCACGCTAGCGTATAATAATGTGAAATTACTCAAAATAAAACAAACTCTTCTCAGTCCCACAACATGGGAAATGGTTGAGTTTCCATATGATTATTTATTCTTATGTTAGAAGCGTAATGAGTCCACTTTAAGATAAACAATCCAATGGGCTAGTTATTTAAAAACACACACAAATCCAATACCTATATTCATGTACATTGACAATTATGCGGAATAACCTACCCCATAGTAAGCCTTCTTTATTTCGGAAGAGCTTGCATCTTTACTCACTCCAAGAACATCATAATAATCCCTTGCCAATGATGCTATAAAATAGTTTGAGATGCAAAAACAAAAACAAGTCAATGACATGCTCGAAACAATAGACAACTATGCATAAGGAAGCAAGGACATACTACCATTCTAGTAAAACAGTAATCAATAGAAGTTAGTACCGTAGACAACATGTAAGCTATAAATAATAACAACAAAACTCTCAAACGCGTGATTTCATGAGCAATAAAACAGGGCCGGCACGCATTATGTAACACGTGATTTAATAATTTATACCTGAGCCATGAATTGATCTATACGCCCCTAAATATGAATTAGCCGCTCCCAATAGCAACCAGTTCTTCAAATTAACATAGCCTTTAACTGCAACTACACAACCAAAAGATAATCAAAATCAATATACAAAATTATGACAGTATAATTTTTTTTAAAGAGAATAACACTTTTACATTCCAACAAAACCAAGAAAAGCATCAATGATCAATTAATTTAGCAACTTATTGACCTTTCCAAAATAACTATACACCCAAATTACCAAACAAAAATTTAAATAAAATAATAATGTTGTTGTGTTCACCCACTAAAAAAATTGTTGATTTAATGCCTCAGTAGCACCAAATTATTTTATTCATTATTTAAATTATTATCGGTATTGACGTGTCAGTGTCATGTTTATGGTGTCTTGTTTATGGTGTCTGTGCTTCATAGTTTAACGCATACCATTTGGTGCATTACTACCAATAACTCTAGATGAACTACATGATCCTAAATTCAATGTCCTATAACCCCTTTGGAAAACTAATTGATATACCTGCAAAAAATGAAGAAAAAAAATCCATAAATTTGTTAAACCAGAGTAGTTCATAGAAAAATGTCAGTAAAAAACACACACTCATAAAAAGAAAGATATATACAGAATCGTTAGCGTGAAAGAGTGATCGACGAGCAAGGTGGGTAAAGAGGATGGTGACACTAGAGCGAACCATTTGGATAATTGAATTGACTAAGAAATTAGGAAGTTTTGTTTGGAGGAGAAATGGGATTTTTTGGGATGAATAGTAAAACCCTAGAAAAAACCCTAATTTGATGAAATGGCAATGGAAGGTTCTAGTAGAACCGGGAGGGAGGGTCGGTAAAGTTGCTACAATGGTATTGGAGCAAGAATTTTCGGTTGTGTGCATACCAATTACCGGTCTTTTATTTACTTATATAGCAAACACTTGTATGGTCACAAACTTAAATATTTTAAACTTAGGCACACTCACACAAATTATAAAAGGAAAATAGAAAATCTTATTATATTCATAATAATGATGATAAATCAATTATATTCTATCTTTCATTTCAACACATCTGAGTGTGCCCAAATAAAAATATTTGTGGTTGTGTCCATGAAAGCCTTGCTCTTTCTTATAATAAAAATACTGGAATTTCTTTGTATATTTTCTTTATGGCTGGGGAAAAATTCTTGAAAATATCATTGAGAGATGTATCTCTGAACGCGTCTCAAATTAGAGTGTTTTAGAGATGCATTTCTGAAAATAATTTGTTTAGATTTGGATGTTATATTTAAATATACATTGATATTTTCAGAGATGTGTTTCTGAAACACTTTAATTTGATTCTTTTGGAGATACATCTCTGAAACCCTGAACAATGATATTTTTTTTAAATCATCATTGTGTTGATAAATAATTAGATGAAAACGATAATAAAAACGCAAATAAAAATGATAAGACATAAAAAATGTTACAGTAAAAACTCTTTAAGTTAATAATGTCAGGACATGAGAAATTTATTAATTTAGAGAGTTATTAATTTATCGATAAATTAATAATTATTAATTTAAAGAGTTTTTAAGTAATTATATTGTACATACCAATAGTGAATTGCTTCCGACACCGTAAAATTCGACCAACTAGTGACGTTGCAAGAAATTTGGATGAATCCACTTTTGATGAAGAAATTCAAGACCTCGAGACTATGATCAATCAATGTGGCTATCGTAATAAGATGGATATCGACAATCTAATGAACTATCCAGGTGAAAATGAAGCATGTTCGGAGGTTCATAGTTTAGAAGATATTGTGGATACTATCGTTGAGAATAATGCAGAGGATGACGGCAAAGATGATACGGTGTCTTTGGAGCCTGTTACGCGAAAGAAAACACTTATGGCGTCAAACACTCTTTACAATTTTATGATACAATACAAAAATACAACACCTGAGCTATTGGATGCAATAAAAAAAGTTAGAGATGGGTTCCAAATAGACTTGAACTTTAAAGGAAAACAGACAACTATTGAATCATATTTCAATAGAGTGTAATATATTTTTTTCAGTTTCTATGAATTATTAATTTATGATTTTCTTGGGACCGAAAATTATAAAGGGATCTCCCGAAAAATTATTATCTTATTATTTTATCGAGCTTTTCAATTTTTTACATTGGCCCAAGTCGGGACCGGGCAAATTTATTATTTTAGAAAGTTTATTAATTTACAGAGTATTAATTTAAAGAGTTTCTACTGTAATACAATAATACGATAATAAAATAAAAACGCAAATGAAAAAAGATAATACAATAAATTGTTTTAAAAAAAATAATACAAGAATTGTTCATAAATTATTTTGAAATATATAAAAAAAATCATAGTGTATATTGCGTAGGTCTGATTCTCACTCCCTGGCCCATCTTCTATCTACTGTATCCCGCCACACTCCCTGCCTCCCCAACCATCCGCTCTGCAATGGCCACGGCCTCAAGACCACCCTAGTCAATGATACTTATGTCTAAAGTCTTCCGCCTAATCATTTGTATCCCCTGACTGGTTGGAAAAAGATCAATGGCATGGTCATCCTCGGTCTGCTGGTTCTCTAAGATCTCCTCATGAGTTGGTCTAGGTGGACTCCAGGAGCATCTGGTGTCATGATAGGATGTGACACTATGTAGAACCATGTCATGTATCCCTCAACATAGTGCCAACTGCTGGATACTTTTATCATCCATCACTCATCTGGCACCAAATGATGCTCTCAGTCCTAAAATATGTCATCGAGCTCTCGGCGGACAATGGTGTCAGAAGCAACCTGAAAGGGAGATCTGGGTATGGTCTGTACATAGCTGAAACTACTGCATGCATTACTTCGATAGATATCTGACCATAATGTTGGTCCTACATGCCAGCCACCCAGAGTACAGTGAGATGGAATAAAATTGGATAATCTCCCAATGATCCTCGAACGACGTCCATAGGATGTCATCATGGACAATCCTATCCAGATACATCTGGAATGGCAGCATAGCCTAATTCCCTCTGTGGGGATATACCAAACAGTCCTTAGCATGTCCTCAATATAATCCATAGCATAATCGAAACTACGGATGTGGTGGAAGTGTGAAATGATTCAGCCTTGAAAAACAAATAAGATTCATGTAAGAACAAATTATATTTATTAATAGTAAATTAAATTAAATTTAATAGTTGGAATGATAATTACTATCAGCAGTGTAGCAAAGCCTGCCAGTTGTCGTGTCCTTTAGTTAGAGGCTTCATTCATATTTTGGTACAAGTATACCAAACAGTCGGCCCCCCAGTTCCACTCTCTCACTGCATCCAAATCTATGAAGTACTAAAGGTATGCTACATCCACGTAGTTGGAACTTTTGTCCATAAAGATGGACGTACTAACCAAGAACATGAAGTGACACCTCAGAGCATATTAATAGTGATAAATAACAAATAAGTCATCTCCCTCTGACTGGGAATCAGATGCCGCAGAGAGGTGCTGGTGATATAACTTCTTAAGGAATGATAACTTCGCATGAGCCTCATTGGTGGAGGAACACTGCTTAAATGTTTCTTCTGGCTTAGCTCCCAGATAGCCGACCATCCATTCAATCGCATCACTACGATTGATCCAGGAGTGGCTAAGTAACCTCCCTCTTATAGGAAGATGTAGCAGGAAGGCGAGGTCATCACCCTAACATGCAAGTGAAAAGATAATGTATCCTTGTGCCACCTCTCCATAAATGCCCCCTACATGTCGTGGCTGATGGTGTTATAACGGGAACAACAAAGGCCAGTAAGTCCGGAGGCAAAAATGGGCTCTCTAGACCAATCTTCATCAGGGTGATATAACTCGGATATCTTTCGTGTGTGGTTCACGCACTTTAGTGGTCATCGTTCATGTAAAAATAAATAATTAATATCAATTTTAACATGTTAGTGCGAAAATCATTAAAATGAAAAGTGTAACAAAAATTAATATACATGTCCCTCTGAAATATATCGAGCGACATGATCAGTGTAATAGATAAAGAGGGAGGTGTCAGACGACACCCCTGTAAAACACTGGATAGCCTCATCTCCGACTTCTAAAACATTAACCATTTCGGGTTCCGGAACCTGAAACCACCCAGGTTTCTCCTCCTCGCAATCCCTAGACGATGACGCACGTGAAAGGAAACTCCTCGGAGCAGAAGTCGATGTTTCCTCCACTTCCTCACGCAGTACTCGATCGCGTCCTCAACACCTTGTAGTCTGCTCAGCTCTCTCTCGTCAAGCGGATGCAGTTTGGCTAGGCCTACCAAGTCTCAATGTGTTAGGGTTCTCTGCCATTTTCTTGGAAAAACAAATAGTCATTAATCAAATCAAAGGTAAGCGAAACGAACAAGAACATGTTTGAAAATTAAAAAAAAAAACCATTTTTTAGAGATGTATCTCCGAAACTTCTCAGAGAGGTTTTCAGAGATGTATCTCCTAAAAAACTTGTGACTTCCATAACAAATTCTTCAACCTAACAACACCATTTTTACACGAAAATCAATTTTTTACACTTAAAAGTAAGCTTTTTTACAGGTTATACATAATCTAACCAACTTAAAATAGAAATGCAAAGATTAAAAGGGATTAGAGAACTTACTCAAATTTGAAGTTTTAGAGTTGTTGAAATGTGTTTAAATTGAGAGTTGGAGTGAGTTGTAACAAGTGCTAATGAGTGGACAAACTTGAATGAGTTTTGAAAGTAGATATTTTAGAGGTTTTTGGGGTGTTTGATAGTTGGAAGTTGAAAGAAATGAGAATGAGGGGTAGATGTTCGTATTTGTTACTGTAATGCCCTAATTCAGATATGTATCTCCAAAACACCTTTGATTTTGAAAAAAAAAGTTTCAGCAATACATCTCTGAAAATACCCCAGAAAAAATAAATTTAATACGTTCGGAGATGTATCTCCGAATTCTGAGGATAAAAACAGAATTTCTTCAGAGGTGACTAAGAAGGTGTAAGGGTGGAGAAAGAAATTCCTTAAAAACACACAAATGGCAATGCTTTTGTTGGTTAGAATTTAATTGGAATTAAAGAAATTTTATACCGTCAATAAACGATAACTACTATATTTGATTTTTATTTTAATTATTAATTAAGTAATATTTATGGGTGATTCCGATTCACTGATGGTGATGGTGATGGTGATGGTGTAAAACTTTATACACTGACAATACATGACAAATAATCTCTTATTGGTTATTACTAACTATTTCATTTTATTTTTCGTAATTAATTTCATTATATATATATATATATATATATATATATATATATATATATATATATATATATATATATATATATATATATATATATATATATATATATAAAAGAGATATTAAGTAGGATGATTTTAAAATAAGAGATAAGAGGATTAAACACTAATCATTAGATTTAATAAATAATCTTGATAAAGTCATGACAATAAATGTTCTTCAAGACCATTTATCAAATCCAATAGTTAGCATTCATTCTTCTTATCTCTTATTTTAAAAACACTCCTACTTGATATATCCTATATATATATATATATATATATATATATATATATATATATATATATATATATATATATATATATATATATATATATATATATATATATATATATATATATATATATATATATATATATATATATATATATATAT